TAATAAATACTAACCCGAAGGATCCCATCTTTCACCATGTTTGATTAAAACTGATACGTAGTTGTTCATCACAACAAAATCAAGAATTTTCAAAGATGAAAAAAACTTCAATTACTCGAATGTGGGATTTTTTTTGTTGAAAATTAAAGAGAGAAACGTTGAATTTTTTTTGTTGCAAATTGAAGAGAGAGAAACGTTGAAAAAAGAAGAAGATAAAATCTGAATTTTTATTTGATTTTAACTGATTTGAGTGAATTCAGGATACTAAATAATCTTAATTAGTTTAAATCCCTTAATTCGTGCTATTTATTAATTATCTACAAAAGAATGATATGATCTGATTTTTTAATTTATCTTAACTGATTTTGAGTGAATTAAGGATAAAAAATATTGTTAATTTGTTTGAATCCCTTATTTCATGCTAATCATTAATTATCTACAATAAATTCAAATTAAATTACAGGCCACACTTTCAGTTTTTTACTTTATTATCTATAATTCTGTTTTTTTTTTTATTTTCGTTTTTTTTTAAACTTTTTTCGAATTAATAAAAATATTTCTTTTATTTGAGAATTTGTTATAACCTGAAATTTTTAATGCTATAACTTGAAAGTCTAAATCTACTGCTATAGCCTGAAAATAGTACTATAATATATGTCATATATGAAATTTACACATTATTATACACCCTATAAAATAATATTGAATATGGTATTTATTCAACTAATACGTATATTAGTTAATACATAGGTTCAAAATCCTACCAAACAAAAGATTAAATAATGTCATGACTAATACATGCATTAGATTTTCTAATACATTCTACCAAATGACCCTACATATTGTATCAAATTGGACAGTTCTAAGTTCTTCCTTTCAATCCAAGTCGAGGTAATAGTTTCTATGGTAGGGCTAAATAGATTTCTTTCCTTACAGTCAAGTGGTTGTCCATCTCTAGGAAGATTGTGTCCAGGATCTGGTAATCTAAGCTTGCTTCTTCTGGTCGGCTCGTATTAGCCTGTGCTTTATTACAAGTAGTCATTCCCCCGTTCCCTGCTGATAAGAAAATGGAGTTAGATTCGGCCAAGAGTAACCTTGAAAAACTTCTGCTTTACGAAGAAAGATAGAGAATAAGCACCTTGAACCAAATTCAGAACTTGTCTCTGTATGGCAGGAAGCTCTCAATTTATTTCATACATTACTTTCTTCTCAAGGTTTGGAGGTGGTTGCATGTGTTATGCGTCATTCATCTTCAAATTTAAAATTATAAATTCGAGTCAGAAACAAAAAGATGAAAACTCGGAGAGGGAGGGAAAAAATAAATAAAAATTGGAATGGTCGAACTCTCATGTAAATAAGTTGAAGTCCCCTCCTCTTTGAATAGTTTTATTCGTTCAATTTTATAGTAAAATCCTCGATCTTTTAAAATGGTACATGCTTCCAACCACACAAACAGTTCATTTTCACTAGGAATAACTAATTTATTATATATAACAATATGAAAATTATGTAGCAAAAAAATAAAATTACATGCAAAACACCCATTTTTCAAAAAATAAAAAGATGATAATGAGACAGGTCAAGAAAAGACCAAGTAAACTACCAGCAAAATTATTGGGTGATAAAAATAAGGGATCAACAGTGTAAGAGATAGTTTGGATTGACTTAAAAGTTGATCAAACCTACTTTTAAGAGTCCGTTTGGATTGGTTTAAACGTCGGTTAAACCTACTTTTAAGTCAGTTTTTGACTTCGGGAAGTGTTTGGCAAATATAAAAAATAACTTAAAATAAGTCAAAATGACTTAAAATAAGTTATGAAGTGTTTGGCAAGGTAAAAAAAATGACTCAAAATAAGTCAAAAATGACTTAAAATAAGTCAGAAACCAAAAGTAGGTTTCCCCTACTTTTTATTTTTTAACTTAAAAGTCATTTCAGTTTGACTTTTTATTTTTTACTTAAAAACTACTTTTTTAAGTCAATCCGAACGGGCTCTAAGTCAATTTTTTACTTTTGGAAGTGTTTGACAAATATAAAAAATAACTTAAAATAAGTTATAAAGTATTTGACAAGGTAAAAAATGACTTAAAATAAGTCAAAAACCAAATTAGGTCTCCCCCTAATTTTTTATTTTTTGACTTAAAAGTCATTTTAGTTTGACTTTTTATTTTTTGACTTAAAAATTGCCTTTTTTAAGTCAATCCAAACCAGTTCTAAGTTTCCATCGGGTCTGATTTATTGATTAAATCGATTCTCACGATCAAAATAATAAAATTAAGGGATCAACAAGGTAAGTTTTCAACTAAATAATTTTCAAAACTACAAGTTATAAGCAATTCATAGTAAAATGACAAATCTAAAGTCAAATTACTTTTAAATTAAAAAAAACACTATATCCTTTTTGGGACATACAATAAGAAACTTATATGACACATAAATTAGGTAACGGAAAAATCTATGTTTGAATTGATAGATATTGACTCGCCATATAGTTCAAGCCCCAAATTAAAAAAAAAATTATCTTTCAAATTACTTAATAATATAAATATTTTTATTCAATCAATATACAAAAAAATAATAATCTCTTTTATGTTTTTTAATACTACCACCACTTTCATTATCGAAAGAGTCCCACCTTCACTTTGCGTTAGATTGAATTGAAACCTAATAAGACTATAATTAATACGTCAGCCAAAATCTTTTTTTGAAATTCAGATAATTCGTTATAATCTTTGTTGTGTCACCGTCTCTGTCCTTCAGATGAGTATTTTGTGGACCACACAAGAGATGTAAAAACTAAAAAAATTTAAAAAAAATTATTTTTAATTTGATAACATTTTCTTCCCTCTTTTTTTAATTTGGTGACATGACACGTCAACTTTCTATGACATTCCACCTCTTTAGTGTTTCCATATAAACAAACTTCTTCGTAAATTAGGTGACTGTCAATTTTTTTAAATTGCAATAATAATCTACCAAATATCTATTCTACACTTCTCAAAAATATATCTATTGGTAGTTGATGGGAAACAAATAAACAAATATTAGACCATATATCAATTATCATCAAAGCATCAAACTACATGTTGTCCCTTCCTAAATAATCTAAAATAAAGACTAAACTAATACCACACACATTATTATTTGATTTGTTGCATACAAACATTATATTATAATTATATTTATTTAACCTAACTTGATAGACATAGACATCGTGACAACCACTTCTTAGAATTTGTATTATTTTCAAATTCATTCTTCATGAACATATATAGTACTTATCTTCATATTTTTTTTCATATACAACAAGAATCCATTCAATTTTTTTCTAGTATTTTCTCATGGATTCTTTTGCAAATTTATTGAGAGAACCATTTCAATTTTTTACAACTATTCTTCTTAGTCTTCTTTTTCCTCTTTCTTTTCTTATACTTTCTAGGCTATCTGTTGCACATTATCTTATTGATCTTGTAGGTTATTCAACAACAGAAATTACAATTAATTGTGATTTACTAATCAAATTTTTTCTTCAAGTTAACCCTATTTTTCTACATGTTCTTGTTTCTATTATCAGTGTTGCTGCACTTTCTCATACCTTAACCGGTGGTACCTCTTGCTTTATCAAGCGTACCCTAGAGCCCGTCTCGAGACCGCGATTATACACTGCGTGGTTTTTCGTATGCATATTGCAAATTTGCGTTGGTTTAGGCATTGAAGGTACGTGTTGAGAATAGAATTTTGAATATAACGTGTTTTTCCCACCTTTCAAATATAAGTGTCAAGTCGATAAAATAGAAAATCAACAAGTTTTTTCGAAAATAAGTACATCCTTAAAACTTTACTAAATGATATAAGAAGTCAAAGGAGAGATAAAGAGTTACTCTATTATTTTAGCTACATTTATAATGTATGATATATTTAGTCGATGTGAGTCTAGAAATCGCATCGTGACACGTATAAAAAAACTTATTATTACGTATCGACGGAGTTTATTAATTTATGTTCTAACAGGTAGTATAGCTGCTGGAGTTGATGCTTATGAAATTGGTTATGAAAGGGGATTTTTGACAAGAGCTATATTCTTCTTGGGACTAAATGAGACAATGTTCTTTTGGTCCAATATTTTTGTGAAGCCAGTGGTGGATGACACAGTTTTTGGCATTCTAAGGGAGAATAAATGGATTGAAAAGGCAGCATTGGCAATGAGTTTTGGTGGACTTTGGTGGTGGAGATTGAGAGATGAAGTTGAGTTTTTAGTGGTTGTGGTGGAGAAAAAAAGAGACTTATTGATTAGTATTGGATTGGCTGATTTTGTTGGTTGGTGGTTGTATTATTTAACTGTTACAATTGGTATGATCAAAATTGTGAAAAGTCTTGTTTGGGTTGTTTATGTAATGTTTGGTAGAAGAGTTGTTGATATTGACAATATTGTTGGTGACTCTAGGAACAATGATGAGAAGGTCTGAATTTGGACATATTGTATTTTCCTTTTTGTGTAATTTCTACTTTTGGTAGAGTTATTGAGTATGTCATACCCGATGTTTATACCAAACCACATGAATTTAATGTGGTTAAATGATGAATTGATATGAGAAAGAACATGTCATATGTTTATTGATTTGATGTAAATATTTCAGGGGCTTATAGCTAGTCCCTTGTTGTTTTGCGATTAATATTTTCCTTTCCATCCAAATATGTCACTAATTACGCTCTAATCTGTTTCTGATTGTAATTTTGCATTTGTCCATATGCATATATATATACATGATTGAAGTTTCTTTAAAGATGGAAACAATGGTAGTCTATTTGGGATGTGTATTCTTTCATCTGGACTCTTCTGCTTGTTGCCATGGAAACATCACACTGAACCAATATTTTAAAATGTGGCTTTAATCTCTCTATGACCAGGTTATCTTATTGGCTCCTCGATGTTTACACCAAATCGTATCAACTTATCATAGGTAAATGAGATAAAGTCTATATGCAAACATATGTCATTCATATATATTCATTTAGTGAAAACACTATGTATCCATAAGTTTTTACTCTCAAAAGAGTTCACTTTCACTATTGCCAAGCTCCCATAGCCATCAAAAGAACTTTACTCAAAATATATCCAAGAAGTTACATGGTGCTGCTTTTCAGACAGTACTCCTGAAAGTATAAAGCCATTCGAGGCTACTTTGTTAAGGGTACCACTAATTCGTCCTGGAGTTTAGACCATGACCAACGTCTCAATCTCCAAAAATGATATTTCTAGTGATTTCCAGGATGATCAGTTTCATCTTAAAGGATATGAGAGAAGTGAATTAGTGGTCAATGGCATTGAAGAAGATTGTGTAGATATTGATTCTCTTTACTCCATTTGTGGCCTTAACAATGAAGAGAATACATCTGATGAACAAGTTAGAAGCAACTTATTGGAAGATCAGCAACAAAGTCTATCAGATTGGACGCAAAATCATTTCCCCACCAACACAGTCATGCCCTTGCAACCGGTCCAAATCCAATCCACTATTGAAGCACCAAAGAATGATGATTTCCGGCCTCAAGTACCAGAACCTGGCAACTCTAGCAATGAAAAACCAAAGCCGTTTTCATTAGCATCTTTGGAGCTACTGAGCAATTATGGCAGACTGAGCAAGAAATCGAGCGAGGAAAACTTGAGCTCTAATGCACTAAGTTGTGAGGCTCACTTAGGTAACAGCAACAAATTGCCAATGGAAGAGATCTTGAGGGCTGCTGGAGAAAGGTATTGCCAAAATTGTGTGACTATCTCACCTTAAAGTTTAAGTTTTTAGATCTTTGCATACCCTGATCGATACCATGTTGAAGTATGCGACCATGTCATCTAAAAGTTTAAGATGTTAGAGCGAGCACACTTTTAATTACTTGATCATATTATGTCTGAACAGGTACATACAGTACTCCACCCAAAGGCTAGATGGTCTTTCTATGTTTATCCACCCTTATGGTTCGGCACTCTCAGGCCTTTGTATGGAGGAAACAAGGGACGTGGAACTTGTCCACCTCCTCCTAGCTGCAGCAGAAGAAGTGAATAATCAGCAATTCCATCTAGCTAGCAAATTGATTTCTCGTTGTATGAGGGTGGCATCTGATTCAGGTAATCCAGTCCAGAGACTTTCTTTCTATTTTGCTAAAGCTTTAGAAGAAAGGATTGATCGATCAACTGGAAGATACACATGTACGGATGAAGATCGCCACCTCAAGTATATAAAAACTATGTCATTAGGTACCAACTCTGCATTCTTGACTTGCCACCAACTAATTCCCTTCAGTCAAGTGATGCAATTTGCTGGAGTTCAAACAATTGTTGAAAATGTCAGAAGCGCAAAAAAGATCCATTTGATTGATTTTAATATCAGAAGTGGAATTCAGTGGATAGTCTTGATACAAGCTCTTGCAGAAAAAGGTGACAGTCCAATTGAACTTCTTAAGATAACTGCAGTTGGAAGCACAGAAAAAGAGAACTTTGAAGTAACAAGCAACACATTACACAGTTTTGCCAAGTCCTTAGGTCTTTCATTTTCATTTGATATAGTTTTTGTCTCGGGCATGAAAGATTTCAAGAAAGAGTCAGTCAATATTAAAACAGATGAGACTGTGGCTGTTTATTGTAACTCTATACTAAGGACAATGCTACTAAGACCAGATTGTTTGGATAATTTGATGAAAGTAGTCAGAAGTATTGGACCAACAATTATTGTTGTTGGCGAAGTTGAAGCAAACCATAATTCACCATCATTTTTAAACCGCTTTATTGAGACACTTTACTTTTACAGTGCATTTTTTGATTGCTTCGAGGACTGCATGGATCGAGGCAGTCCATGTCGAACAACGATTGAAGGGGTGTATTTTGGTGAAGGTATTCGGAACATCGTGGCGGCTGAAGGTGAGGACAGGTTCACCAGGAATGTGAAGCTTGAAGTATGGAGAGCATTCTTTGCAAGGTTTGGTATGGTGGAAGAAGAGCTTAGTGAGTCAGCTTGGTATCAAGCTCATCTGATTCTCAAGCAATTTGCACAAGGCAGTTCTTGTGATCTTCAAAAGGATGGGAAAGGCCTCATTATTGGGTGGAAGGGAACACCAATTCATTCCCTATCCATTTGGAAGTTCTTGTAAGAAAACAATTTGCCTTATTGAGGAAACAAATAGGATGCTTACTTGCTCAGTTCAGTTGTACACCATTAACGGACCATAAGGCATCTCCAAGCTACCAAAATCTAGATTTTTTCTCTTAAACTCATATTTCTGGGATAGTGGACTTGTGGTACATGTTGTTCACCCTTCCTCCTTTGTTTTGAGCACCTTGTGAACAAAGAGTGGGCAGAAGAAATAGAGGTCCTTATTTAGAGTCGCATACTTCAAAAAGTGCGGGAGACTGGACATGGCTTGGTTAATAACTACTCCTATACCTTTAGATCGAATATGTTAAACTGCGGCATTACAATAGACACCTATGATTAGGCCTGAAAAAAAAGGAAGAGAAAACTTTGAAGTCTTATGGTCCCAAAAGGTATAACCTCATCACAAATACCATGCTTCTGGTTTATCCTTTTACCAAAAAAACATTCCCCAAATGAATTGAATTAATAAACTTCTTACCGAACAGAATATAAAATTTGGGAAGATTTCAGTCAATTTAATAGACTGATTCTGGACAGATTTGTGGGTTGGTGATGAATGTCAAAAATATAAGCTTCCCACTCTGTTTAACTGCTCAACTAAAAAGGTTGGTAGTATTGCTGAATTTCATTCTAAATCTGGTTAGCAGCTAAGGTTCCGGAGGAATTTGAACGATTGGGAGATAGAAGAATTTTGTCAGTTGCTTCAACAATTTGGATCAGTTTGTATTGATCAGAGTGGACATCCTGATTTGGCTGGAAAGTAAAGACAAGAAATATTTTTAGTTAAGAATTGCTATAGTATGTTGATAAAGACATGTCAGTGGGATAATTCCTGGCCTTGGAGGATGATATGGAAAACAAAAGCTCCTGTTAAAGTAGCATGTTTTGGATGGGTTGCAACATGGGGGTAGCTCAAAATAACTTGGAGAAGAGATGTTTTGACCTATGTAGTAGATGCTACCTGTGTCAAGAAGATCAGGAAGAAGTTAATCACCTTTATATTTTATTATTTTGATGGGTATATAATATACTGTACAAAATATTTGCGCTAAGCCAGTGCAACAGGCATAATTACAAGTTGTGCAAATCAGCCCAGTTGAGCATCTTTTTCTCCAGTTCAGATTTTCTAGAGAATGTTGGGAGTTACTCCTAACCCATCGTGTTATTACATGGGTGATGTCTCGGAATGTGAAAGGTTTACTGGAAGGATGGCAGTAGCATGCGATACCAAAAGAAATATAGCAGAGAACTATTTCATTGAGTATCTTATGGACAATATGGATGGAGCTGAACAAGGCTTGCTTTGAAGGACAGAGAACTCACATTTCTAGAATTAAGAATAGATGTTTAAAAAATTTGTCCTTCTGGTGTAAATGTAGCTTAATGGATAGTTTGAACCAGTATATAGAAGAAGAATGTAGTAGGCTGCTTTTTGTTATATGTTGTTTCTGTTTCTTTTCTTGTACCATCTTGGTACCATTTAATAAAATCTTTACCTTATCAAAGAAACAAAAGGTAACCATGACTAGCACACAGACAAATCCAATAAATAAGCCAATTTTCACAGAGTTCTTTATTTTAAGAAAAGAATCTTGAGGGTGGCCTTGTTAATTTTGTGCACAGGTTCTTGCATTTTTCTTTTTTTTGGTGAGATGTCCATTTGCTTGTCTGCAATTCATTTTTAGGTAGTCTTATATTTACTTCAACAGTTATCCGATTGTTATTCACATAACCTGTCACCATCTCAATTTAGAAAATGACTACCTAGCAAAAGTACAGTATGTCCAAAAGTAGGTAGGCTGAATTTCTTAAGAAGGGTCATACATCACAACATAAACCACATTGTCCTTAGTACCATGTCTTATTTTTTTCTTGTCCTTCTAATCTTATTAAACTCTAGAAAGCCAGCAATATTACTTTTTCATCTTAAACACAAAGATTAACAAGATATACAATTGCATTTTTTCTAGATGATAATAACTCTGTGAAACTAATTGATATTGCCAATTCTTTTAGAGGTTTACGTCACAGTCTGTCAAAATATTGTATTCAGCTGAATATGCTCTTTTTTATGAAGAGTCAATCTCTCAAAAGTTTCAAGTCGTCCCATCGTCAGCCAGCTGCACAGCTTTAATTTGTAATTATAAACTTGGGATTTGATGAAATATCAATAATATTACCTGCTGCTGATATCAGGAGGCACTTGCAAATTACTCTCAGTTCTGATATGACCAATCCCTTGTTTGTTCCATCTTGCATCATTCACTTCCAACCAAATCCCAGGGAGTGATGGCTCTATCAGAGGTTGTAGAGTAGATATTGCAAAGAGTTGAAATCACTCATCAGTTATGGAGGATTCCACAGATATCCAGAACTTCTGTACCAACTATGGGTTCTATCAAGAATATGCAGTCAATCAACAATTACAAGAAATGAATAAACAACAAGAAGAAATGAATGTGCATGCTGCCCATTATGCAGGTCAATTAAGTCTAGGAAAAATAAAGCTCAATGATCTAGAAACAGGAAGCGACGTGGACGAGGTACCTTTTCTATCTCCAGCTCCTTTTGAATTGCTGAGGAACAATCCGAGAAGTCGCAAGAATACTGAAGGAGTTACAGTTAGAGATGTGAACGGTGGAGCCAACGTGCACCAGAAGCTCTCAGCTACGCAAATCATGAGGCTAGCTGGAGAAAGATTCATCCAGTTCTCTTCCAACAAGTTCATCAACATAAACAATCTTTTGCATCCCTATGGTTCTGCTTTCTCAGACCTTTCTCCTGAAGATAATCAAGACGTAGAACTTGCTCAAATCCTCCTAGCTGCAGCTGAGAAAGTTTCTGACCAGCAATACGACCGTGCAAGGAAATTTCTGAGTCAATGCCAACTACTTGCATCAAACACAGGTAATCCTGTGCAAAGAGCAGTCTTTTATTTTGCACAAGCACTTGGAGAGAGGATCGATAGAGAAACAGGAAAATTAATGCCAAAAATCTGCACGGAAACAGATGAACTTAACAGTATCTGTGTTGCATCAAGATTCCACGCCTCATACGTAGCATTACATCAAGAAGTTCCATTCACCCAAATAGTGCATTTCACAGGAATTCAAGCCATACTAGAAAGTGTAGCAACGAAACCCAAAGTTCACCTAATTGATTTCCTTATCAGAACAGGGGTACAATGGGCATCCTTGATCCAAGCAGCAGCAGAGCGAAAAGACAACCCAATCGAACATATGAAGATCACAGTTATCGAATCAGTCAATAAAGAAAGAGTAATAGAAACAGGCAAGTCTTTAGAGAGTTTTGCTAATTCCTTGAACTTCCCCTTCTCATTCAAGATCATCTTTTTACCAGATAGAAACCAACTAACTGAAGACCACTTCGACATAAAACCTGACGAAGGGGTAGTAATCCATGCTGCATTCTTTCTACGAGCAATGATTTGCGTACCCAACTGTTTAGAAACTGCAATGAGAGTTGTAAGAAGGCTACAACCATCACTAATGGTAGTATCAGAAGTAGAGGCAAATCTTAATTCACCTCTATTCGTGAACCGATTCATAGACTCATTATTCTACTACAGTGCATTATTTGATTGCCTGGAAGATGTAATGAAGCGGGATGATCAACACAGGATGACACTAGAAGTGTCATACGGAGGAGGGATTCGGAACATAGTAGGAAATGATGGGGAGGAAAGGGTCATAAGAAGTGTGAATCTTGATGTGTGGAGATCATTTTTCAGGAGGTTTGGAATGGAGGAAGTAAAGCTGAGTAACACATGTTTGTATCAAGCTAACTTGATTATTCAGCAGTTTGCTTGTAGGAGTTCTTGCAGTGTGGATGTAAATGGAGGGTCTTTCATGGTTAGCTGGAAAGGGACTCCAATCTATTCCACTTCTGCTTGGAAATTCCATTGAGTTATACACTAGTGTACTCATCCGCGCGAATGCGGAATTAAATATATATTTAAAATAATTGATGTCGTTAATTTACTATTTTTCAATAAGAAGTGTATAAGAAAAACAGTACAAATAAAGTAACGATCTTGATGTTGTCTATTCAGAAATTGCTAGAAAGATATTTTCAAACTTTAACTTCTGCTTAACATTGCCAATAAAAAGAAGAAGCACATAAAAAGTATCTCAAGAAAAAGAAATTAAGTTGATTATATAACATTATATCAGAGATTATACTTTGCAATATATAGAAAATAAGAATTGAAACACATAATATAAAATAAAATGTATATTTATAAGAAGTCATGATGTCGTTAGTAATTTGAATTTGATGTGTTACTTATTTACTCGATTATATAAAGATTATCTTAGAGTGACAAAATATTAAATTTTTTAGAGTACATTAAGTGTCAAGTTGTAGAAAGATATACCAAGAGTTGGATCAATGTTTGTCTCTACCACATATAGAGGAGTGGAAGAGTTTTTAACATTAATCTAATTATTATTGTAGTCATCACTACAAAAATAATAATATATGATAATAACTATTCAAAAGATAACTCATTTTTAATGTGAAATTTAAAATAGATAATTTTTACTTTAAATAATTATAAGTTAAATACACATTAATCACATATGCACATTTATTATAACAATAATTTTTTATTATATATGTTGTTGCACCCCATTTTTCGCAAAACGGGTAATGCAATGACGTGACAACTCTTTTAGGATTATTTAAAAAGAGAGTCGTCGCCTAACAAATTAAAAATGTGTTAGGCCACCATTCTAAACTATACTAACAATTAAATTAATTGAAGGGTCAAACGAACCAAAGATCAGGTAAGAGTTCAAGTTACCTCAAAAACAAGGTCTTAAGCACCTTTCAAGATTCACAAATATGAATTTCAGTCGTATCTTATAATATGAATTTCAGTCGTATCTTATATTATTATGTGGGGGTTATACATGTGACAAATAAGGTTTACTTATTCATTATTAATTAATTAAACTAAGTGATAACAGATAAGAAATTAAATGTAAAACAAGTAGAAACTAACATGAATACATAGATAAAGAAGATAAGC